TTTGTGCTTGGGTTTCAATTATACAATGATCAAATACCCATCCCTCCACCAGTGCCCATTTCTCACCACTACGGATACTGGGATCCCATCCCCCAACCCCCATCCCACCCTGCCTCTGTGGCAGGGCATTCCCTTTTGTTCTCTCTCTCCTATTGGGTGTTGTGGTTTGCAGCTGGCACATGACTAATATTAATCATTCAAATAGCATACGAAGTTCCAACAGGAATTAATTTCAAAATGTATATGGATTTTTCACTCAAAGTATAACTGTACTGTAGCTATTATATACATTAAATTCTCTCTTTATTTTCCATACTTTAGGTCGCTAATAACACAGTAAACACCTGCATATAGTTAACCTAGATTTATTACTTATTAACATATACTGCACTTACTTTATGTAGTTCTCCTATTTTTTCAAAAGCATTTCAAGAGTAATTTGTAAGCATTATGGCACTTCACCTCTAAGGCCTTCAACATGTATCTCATGACATGTTGCATTATTAGACCAAACAACCACTCCGTTGGTGTGATATTATCTAATTGTATCATCTACTTTATATTCAAATGTCCCCATTGTTCCCAGAATGTCTTGGATGCTATTTTGTGTGCCAGGATTGAATCAAAGAGCACACATTGCATTTGTCATCGCTATTATTTGTGTGTGTGTGTTTAAAAAATTTTTTAATTTGGTTCCTTTAGCCAGAAGTCATTCATGAGGTTTTCCCAATGGGAGAAGGTATGGGTTGTTTCTTCCAAATGAAATAGCTATTCTTGGTGAGGTTCCAGAACAGCTAACAGATCACAGGAAGACAGTTCTTTGGGCCCTTGTTTGAAATCAACAGCTAGAGTGTAACTATTGATCTTCAGTCAGGGCCATGCCATTGCTATTATTTTTGTCATCTCTTTAATTATCTAGGAATATCTCTTTAGATTATCTAGGATAGTTTACTTCTCCTCTTTAAAAAAACCTTACAATACTTTATAAAAACACACACATACACACACTGATTATAATATGCATTTAATTGCTACCTCTGCTCATTTAAGATCCCAATGTTTTAGATGGGTAATGTAGCACTGTCCTCCCATTGTTCATCGATTTTCTGGAGTGGGCCCAGTAACATCTCCATAGGGAGACTTGTTGTTACTGTGTTTGGCATATCGAATACTTCATGAGTAGCTTGCCAGGCTTTGCCTTGTGGGCGAGATACTCTTGGTAGTATGCTGGACTCTCTGATAGGGGTGGGGGAATTGAACCCGGGTCGGCCGGGCTGGCTGTGTGCAAGGAAAATGCCCTACCGCTGTGCTATCTCTAGTTACCCTAATTATGAATATGACCCAAAAGTGAAGGTTTTTTTTTTAATTTTATTGAATCACCATGAGATAGTTACAAGCTTTCATGTTTGGTTTACAACCACACAATGATCAAACACCCATATCTCCCCAAAGTGAAGTTTTAAAAAAAGCAACAATACCTCTATTTCTAAATGCAGTAGTTGAATATGCCATGTATAATAAAAAACACATAGTTGCTTGTTATATTACAGATTTTGGGAGGACAAACTGTTTTATTCACTTTCACAATCTCTCTTCCCAGTGCAATATTGAAAAAAACACTTGCATTTCTTTCTTTTTTTTTTCTTTATTTTATTTAAAGACCTTGGAGCACGCCCATCAGTGCTCGGGGCTCTGTCTTCAGGAGTCACTATGGACTGTGCTTGGGGGACTATATGCCGTGCTAGAGGTCTCACCAGGATGAGCCCCATGTAAGGCAGCTGCCTTAATTTTTCTACTATCTGACCACCTCCCTTGTCCCCCAACCTAGTATAATATTTTGAATGCAGTGAGGTAAAATATATATTTGTGGAGATAATGACTCTTTTATTTTGGTAAAATATACATAAATTAAACATCCATGTAGTATTGGACAAATAGGACAGTGGTTAGGACACTGTCATCACGTCTGGCTGACCCCGGTTAGATCCCTAGAACTGCATTTGGTCCCCCCACTCCCCACCAGTTCTTCCAGGAGTGATCCTGACTGAAGAGCCAGGAGTAGCTCCTGAATATCTCTGGATATGCCTCCCCCAAATTAAAACAAAACAATGGCAGTAAGTATACATTTGCATTGTTGTGCCTGGTTCTCTTTTAGTAACCTGTGGGTTATATAATAACAGAAAACTTATTGAATGATCAAAGAGAAAAATGTTTTAAACTCCATTAAAATGCTGTCACTATAGAAAACCCACAAATAATTATCGTTAACCTTTTGCTGTAAGCCATCCAGATTTTTTCCTGTTCACTTAAATCATTTTGGATATTTATTCTGAGCCACATATGATATAGAAGACATCAGATTAATCATACTATACAGTAATCTGCCCTTACAACATGTTGCCAATTTTTTCCATAGTTAAGAACTGTTGATAAACGGGATGGATATTTAAAATGTGGTTCTTCTTCCTCTCTATTTTTCTTTTAATGGCGTAGACTTTTTGTAAACTTGCTGATGAGCAAGGACCATGGTGATAGATGAATTCTGTGCATTTCTCCCTCTGAGTACAGTGGGAAGAAACATTGGCTGAGGACCCGGATTTCTAGTTGTGGGACTATGTGTAAAATGGGGATTGAAGAAAGGATTGGTCATTTTTTTACTAAGGCTTAACTTTAGATCAGGGGTTTGATAATAGCATTCCTCCAAGGGAGAAGATGTGAACAACATGTTTCCTTTGAAGGGAATGCCATTGGAATCTGAACTCTTTCTCTGCAGAACTTGTTACTGCATTCCTGAGTCTCCTTATCATCCTCTGGGGAAAGACTCAAGCAAACAAAATATGCATTACCCCAGAGTCGAACTTACCAACGTTCTCTGATGCCTAGTAGGACCACTGCAGGAAAAATATATTAATGAGACTGTTGCTAGGAGACGGAAGAGCCCAAAGCCCATGGCATTGAAGGGGTCCACAGGAAATCAGGGCATTTTTAAAGGTGTTTTAGATCAAAGATTTAGCTGTGAAAACCTGTCTTCTGGTGAGCAAGTGATTTTTAATAGGTAATGTTTACTACGGCTTTGCGTTTGGGGAGGAATTTTGAGGCTAATTCCAAGGCATTTTGTTTCTTGTCACAGAGCCACCCCTTTTTTCAGAGCGCCGCTCATTTTCAAGTCGCTGCATTTCCCCACCCCTTCAGTGTGACAGCCGCAGAGCTGGTGGAAGGCAGCGCAGGTACAGCCGGTAAGTAACTGAGAAATATTTCATAAAAAGAGCTTATCCAGAATAAGTTTTCCGAAGCCAGTGACATATGTTGGTGGTATAGAGTAGCTCAGGACTGTGCAGGAATTTCTGATTCTAATTAGTCGTATGTGGAAGGTGGATGAAATCAATCCTAAATATTTCACGGTCACTTTCCTAGTTCAAAACTTGTTAACCGGTGAATGAGCTGCTCGATGCAGGGTCCCTTGTGACTCCGGGAAGCTGGTTCCCAAAATAAGATCGGATGAAGCTGTTACTACTAGAAAATTGCCTTCAGGATGGTTGGTGTGTCAGATTTACGCTGTTTGGCTTTAACATGATGGAATGGGTTCTGATTTAAGATGTTGGGTCTGTTTCCTCTCGCAGCATGAGAAAATGTCATAGTAGAATCGGGAGAAGGATACCATACCCCATCCTTTTAATTTTTTTCGAATTCAGAAAATCATGTGACTGTCTGAATGTCTGTACAGGAGAGGAAATGAGAAAGTGGGGGCAGCCTAGAATGTTCAGTGTGATTGTTTAAGGAGAGAGATAAACGTGCCTCCTGACTGTAGGATGAGAAAATCTCGAGAAAGACACAATGAATATCACTCTTGTGCCTTTATTTTGATAATTTTGGTTTTGTATTCGTGGACATCGTGGTGTGGGATAAATGCAGTCTCCTCGTGCTTCTTTCTTTGGCAAGGGATGGGAGAAGGAGAGGAGAGATTCTAATCAACAAAGCTTCTACGTTTATTTCTGAAGAGGGCCAGAAAAAGATGTAAGCGTTTTGTGTCTCGTTCAAGGTTGGAAATTACTTTCTTAGAGATCTCTGTGCAAGGCACAGGAAGCTGAACTGGCTTTGAAACATTTCTCAGAAATTCAGCTTGTTTTGACACTTTGCTCGGGAATGAGAAGAGAAAAGATAGGTAGCTAGGCCGTTTTTTTTTTTCCCAAACGGAAAATGTCTGCTGATGGCGTCTTTTTCGGGGGGGCTGGGGGGAGCAAAGGTGGAGGAGTGTGTTGTGCAGAGCACTGCGGCAAAGATGACTGACGCATCCAGGAACACGTGACCTGTTTTGGCGTGGTGAAGTAGAATTTTCCAGGAGTCCATCTTGTATGAGAAATTTCATATGTCAGAATGTGCAAAGAGGACCGTAATTTTGATCTAATTTTGATCTAATTCCTACTGCGTTGATTTTGTTTGATGCTCCATTGGCATGCGTTGGTCCGTTTAGTCAGTACTTCTTATTGCCACTATTTCTAGACGTTTCCTCTGTGCTGTTACCACTTTATAGCACTTGTTAAAATATCTTGTTAAAATAGATATCTGTCCCCTTTATTGTAAAAATCAAATGTCCATTGTAGAACACTTGGAAAGCTCTAAAGATAACTGTAAAAAATGTTCCATCATCTAGTAATTTAGAGTGAGTTACTATTGACGTAATTACTTTCAGGCCCTCTTCAATGGATATATACAAAGAAATACATAGAAATTATATATATATATGTATATGTTTACATGTATATATATATAAACCTCAAGTAACTATAATGTGTAATTGTGATTTTTAACTGGATTTAATAACTTGGGAGTAAATCCTCATATTTAAAAAAACTTTACAAGACTGTGATATCTTGTTCATGCATAATTTAATAAGATAGCTATCAAATTGTTGAATATTTATATGTGCAGTTTTGCTGTTAATTCAAGAAATGTATTTCTATATAAATCTCTGTGTGCTTTTCTGTTTCTTTTTCCCCTTAGAGTAAATTCGTAGCTGTGGAATTCTTGGATCAAATGGTATGAGCCAGTTTAAGGCTTCTCCCCCATCCTTTCCCCATGCATATCACTTTATTTATCACATATGGTAAATGTTATTTTCCAGTTCTCATTTGACTTAATTTTTTTTAACCATTTATGGTGGAGTGATTTTTTTCATTTTGCAGCTTTGCATTTTCAGATATCCACAGGTATTAATTTAGGATTTTGTGCTTTCTTTCTTTTGATGACTATATTCACCTGTATATTTATATTTTTTATTTTATAAAGAAATTTCACTGTTATCATTTCGTTGCCTTTCCTTTTCCACAATTAACTTAAATTCATCTGGAATTAATTTGGGCATGTGGTATGAAGTAGGATCTAATTTTGTCTTTCTTCTAAATAGGTCACCAATTGTTTCAGCATCATTTATTGAATAATCCAACCTTCCACTGATTTGAAATGACATCAGCTGTTCTCCCATTAGAGAGGGCGTAGCTTTGCACCAGTCAGCCATTTTCTTGTTACGCAGGAGGGTTACATTTCACAATAGTACTCCTACAGTCTTGCAGCTATCAGCAGCTTTAGGAAGCATCATGTTGGTATACTAATGCCTTTCAAGAATTCTAGGCACACACAGGACAGTGTTTTGCAACCAGAAAGGTTTTAAAAATTGAAAATTTTACGAGGTGCTGTATACAAAGTAAAATCAAGGAATCCAAATGTATTGAACCATGGTTCCAGAGGTGCTGTTCCTTTTGGACAAACCTGACATCCTCAGTGTGTTATAAACTAGAAAAGATCTCTGGGGTTAGTGTTATTCCTCAGGTTACTTCAAACTCTCCCCTCGCCCACCCCGCCCCCTTTCAGGCAGTGAGAGTTTAAGTTGTCAAGATATCTCCATTCAATTGTTTGAATTTTATGTAATTTTAGGAAAGGGAAAAAATGATATTTCTTGCCATAGTCTTGTCTAGGGATTTAAAGGAGGCAGGATGAGCCCCCCCCTCCACGCCACCACTGCCATCATCTCTTGTAAGTAGGAATTCACCGTTTTTCACTAGATAGGGGGGAGGCATCAGCATAAAACATGGAGTCTCTTAGAGGGAGATGTGTTCAATGTTGCTCAGTGAAACCGTTTTTTCTTAAAACCTCCTGTCACCAACTGTTGACATCTCTAAGGCCAGAATCACCCTCACCCCAGAGTCTTATTTCTCTGTGGCTTCTGACTGTGGCCTTTAGCCTTAACTGATTCTGGAAGAGGAAAAGAGGAGGGGGCTGGTGTGGGAAGATGCCTCACTTGCCTGTAGCACAAGGGGCTTCTTTGGCCCGCAATCACAGACTTAGTCATTTTTTTATTTGCTGCATTAGACTATGATTTGTTTGTGACTAGAGGCTGGTTTCCCAGGCAACTGTAGCTTGCCAGGACATGCACATTATTCGCTCTGGAGTGGCAGAATGCCACCGTGGAGGCAAGGGGTGGGTTTGGGGGAACCCCAGGTGCTAGAGAAGTTATTTTGCATTTGTGATATTGTTGTTGCTCCCCCCTCCCACTAGGTTGCCATTGTCATTGTAAAAAGAGCGTTGCATTTCCCAAAACTTGGAAGGTTTTGAGCCATTCCACTTTCCTTCCTTCCAAATCGCTACTTCTCAATATGTTCACCAGTGACCCTATAGTCTTCCCAGTGTTTGAAACCACGCATGCCTCTCGGATCCTGGGGGGATTTACGGCAGTCTGGGCACAGGAAACAGACTGCCTGGTTTCAAATCTCTGCTGTATGCTTGTTGCGTGACCATAGTCCAATGATTTAATCTCACAGTGTCTTGATTTTCTCAGATGAAAATGGGGATAATAATGGCATCTTCATAACTGTCTGGTAAATATGAACTTGGTGTATGGCTCATATTCTCTCTGATGTTACCCGCAACACCATCACAATGTCCCACAGCACACAGATTCTTCTTATAGCACATAAATGACATGCAGATACTGCCTCACAGAACTGGACTTGGCCCAGGGCACAGGTTCTTCCATATTACACAAATACATAGCATACAGGTATTTCTCACAGCACAAAGCTTCTGTAATGTTCCATTGACTAAATCCATGACTGATACACATCTCATGGCCTTCATTTATCTCAGATCACGTTGACATCCCCAACAGCACACACTTTTGCCCGACAGCATGCAGATTCTCCCTGTTTCCCACTGACTCTCACCAAAGCGCACAGACATTACATTACATTACAGATATTACATTACACAGACCCCCACTGAACTCGAGGACCATCCTGTAACACAAAGACAGTTCCTAGAGCACGCAGACCCTCCTTCCGTTGCACAGCCTCTCCCATAGCACACACACTCTATAGAACACACACTTCCTTCCCAGAACACAGTTAATATCACAGACTGCAGTTCCACAGCATGAAACAGGCACTCTCACCAGTGAGAATTGCCCCACAGCACACAGATAAGTAGCACAAGATATAAACTTGCCCCCACAGCACAGACTTGCCCTGAAATACGTAAAAACTGTCCAGATGGTGCAAACTCACCCCATAAAACACAGACTAAATCCATCACACTATTTCTTCACAACCAAGAGGCCACAAACCAATGTTCCATCTAGCACACACAGAGTTTTCCTGCAATACACAGACTCACCCCACAGATACCAACTGCCTTCTCAGCATCATTCCTCTTCAGAACATATGGAGACTCTCACTTTATGAAAACTGGCCCCAGAACCCACTGCTTCTTCCCAAGACTTGCTGCATGGCATAGGCAGACATACCCCTAAGACTCATGCCACAGCACACAGATTAAAGCCATAGCTTAGACTCTCCCCATGGTACTCAGAAAAAGTCACCTCAATGCATATATTATTGAACATATAACCTTGACGCATAGCATTGTGGCACAAATCACAAACTATCTGCAGTACATGGCTTTATTTCACTGCACAGTTGCCAAATAGTGCACATTTGTCCTAGAGAAAGTTACTGCACAGTATACACTGTGATGATGTGTCAACAGAATATGCCCTAGGTTCCTCAATGATCCAGTTATAAATACACATCATAATGCATAACATTGCCTCACACTGTGCAAATTGGACCTATAATAGAGTATGTTTCTGAATAGACATACTTTCATCACAGGAACACCTAACTTTTCTACTAATTGTTCAGCTTGATCCTCTAGAATACAGTCATAGGCTTGGTGCATAATGCTTTCATTCTTTCCACAACATACAAGTGCATCACACAGCACACTATTCCACATCCACAGGGTGTGTCACAGTGTCACAGTGAACATAGCAGATTGACTTCACAGAAAACACACTGCCTTCTGTGATTATATGGTCACACATACCCCACAAACATTTACCTCAGAGGAACCTCAAAGCACAAGGACTAGCTTCACAGCTCACACTCCATAAGTAATTTATTCTTAACTACACACACAACTCTGCCAAAATGCATAGATTCTTGCATTAATATAAATATCTAATGGACAAAACACCAGTGAACACTGAGACTCACCTAAATATACAAGCAAACTCTTCAAGCTTGCCCCCATGTAATCACCCCAGCAAAACTTGCATTTCCATAGTATGCTGTGAACATATAAATTTCCTCCACAAGGCACAGAACTGTATTACTGCACAGTATTACTAAAAATGAAACTGATAATACACAGAAAAAAATTCCAGTGTGTAGTCACATAACACATATATTCCCTCTGCAATGCAAATATTGACTTCATAGGTTACAGACCTGACTTATGTACACTATTGAGCTCCAGCTCCAGCCTACAACAGAGACCTGATTATGAAAAAGGTTAAGAGAAACGGTTTAAGAATTTGGACACAAACTATCTGGGTTTGAATCCAGATTTCACCCCTTTTAAATTCTATCACCATGGGTAAGTATGTTTATCTGTTCTTTAGTTTGCTTATACGTAAAACAAAGACAACAGTAGTGCCTATTCAAAAGGGTACCTGTGAGTATTAGATTAATTTAGATATGTCAAGTGCTTAGGATAGTGCCTCAGTCTTAAGAACTATGCAAATCATTAATTTATAATAGTATCACTGACATCCCCAATACTACCATTATGAGAAAAGTGAAGAAAACCTACTTTAGAGACCTATAATTATATGACAACACAAAAGCTCAACACATTATCATAGACTTGTGCTAGGACATCTAGAAACATTTTGTGGTACACACAGATACCACACACCTAATGCCCTCACATCTCAGAGGAATAGAGAAGGGATAGAACCTTAAAGTAGATGCCACTTGTAATTTCCAGAATTGCATCACATTGATGACATTTGCCCTGCGATGCACAAGTTTACTTCACAGTGCTAATTGCAAAACATGCGGATGGGTTGCATAACACCCATCTAACTTTATGAGGTACACACCCACAAAGCAACACATGTATAGTGTAAAAGTCAGTGATACGTTTTATGTCATACAAACATACCTAATCACACAGTTTTGTCTCATAATCTGTAGATATATCTAATATTCACAAATAAGCTCCTAAATTCATGATCCTGAATTTTCATTGTACTCTGATACTCGGACTCGTTCTGAATGCAGATTCATCCCCAAAGTCAGGATTCCTCACAATACAGACTCATCACAATATGAACTCATTCAAAGATACCAAACATGCTCTACAGTACATTGGTATAATCTAAAGCAGTGAAGCATACACAGCCATAACTCAGTGCAATGTATGAAATTGTAATATCCCATACAGATTTAAAAACAACTCGAGGTCTTTCATTATAAACTAAGGTGAAATTGCTTTATGAATAAATAAAAATACACTATATGCTACAGCTTCCAAGACACCTGAACACTATATATTTATTACACCTCCCAAGACAACATAAAGAGGCCACCTATAATGCACATTCCCACCCCAAAATAGTATATAGTTTCAGAATAGCTGCATAATCAAAACACAGAATTATTAATGTGAACATATTAGCAAAATATTCATATTACCTTAAT